ATGGCGCCGATTTCTATGGCACCTTATCGTTTTGCCCCAGCCGAATTGAGTGACTTGAAGACTCAGCTTCAGGAGTTGTTAGATAAGGGTTTTGTTCGCCCTAGTGTTTCACCGTGGGGAGCACCGGCCCTCTTGCTAAAAAGAAAGATGGTGCCTTGAGATTGTGTATAGACTACCGGAAGTTGAATCGGGCTACGGTCAAGAATAAGTACCCTATGCCCCGTATAGATGATCTGTTTGACCAGTTAAAGGGTTCCCATTGTTTTTCTAAGATAGACTTGAGATCGGGTTACCACCAGTTGAGGGTCAGGGAGAAGGATATTCTTAAGACGGCATTCCGTACATGGTATGGCCATTATGAGTTTTTGGTGATGCCATTCGGGCTTACCAATGCACCGGCAGTCTTTATGGACTTGATGAACCGGATCTTCCGGGAATTCTTAGACCATTTTGTAGTCGTTTTCGTGGACGACATCCTGGTTTACTCACCTTCAGAGGAGGAGCACGAGGAACACTTGAGAGTGGTGCTTGAGTTGCTTAGAGCCCATAGGCTGTATGCCAAGTTTAGGAAGTGTGAGTTCTGGCTGAGGGAAGTCAAATTCTTAGGCCACGTGGTATCCGGAGAAGGGGTGTCCGTTGATGCATCCAAGGTTGAGGCACTGCAAGATTGGGCACAGCCTAAGAGTGTGTTTGAGATCCGCAGTTTTCTGGGATTAGCTGGGTATTACCGTCGATTTGTGAAAGATTTCTCCAGGCTAGCCTCATCGTTGACTAGATTGACTCGGAAGGGAGTCAAATTTGTGTGGAGTGAGACTTGTGAAAAGTCGTTCCAAGAGCTGAAGGTTAGATTGACTACTGCTCCGGTCTTGATTATTTCGGAGAGAGGGCCGGGTTACGCGGTTTATTATGATGCCTCATGAGAGGGTTTGGGTTGTGTGTTGATGCAAGAGGGGAAAGTGGTAGCTTATAGCTCACGTCAGTTGAAAATTCACGAGAAGAATTACCCTACACACGACCTAGAGTTAGCAGCAGTGATCTTTGCCTTGAAGATTTGGATGTACTACCTTTATGGTGAAAGGTTCGAGGTGTTCTCGGACCACAAGAGTTTGAAGTATCTGTTTACACAGAGAGACTTGAATTTGAGGCAGAGGAGATGGATGGAGTTCATTGAGGATTATGATTTTAAGTTGCACTATCATCCCGAGAAGGCCAATGTTGTAGCCGATGGCCTTAGTAGGAAATCCATTAGTGATGTAGCTTGTATAGCCATCCGGGAATGGGGGATGTTGGGTGTACTTGGCGAGTTTGATTTGCATCTGGGCGAATCTGTTGAGGCTGCGACCTTCTTCTCTGTTGTTGCGCAGTCTACACTTGTGATTAGAGTATTAGAGGCACAGAGAGGTGACCTTGAGGTAGAGTCCTTCCGAGAGAAGATCTCCAGTGGGAGAGTTGAGAAGGGTTTGACGGTGTATCCCGACCTGAGTGTAAGATATCGAGACCGTTTGTTTGTGCCGGAGTCTTGCCGAGAGGAAGTACTCCGAGAGTTCCATCATTCACGTCTTGCGGTGCATCCGGGAGGTACTAAGATGTATCGGGAATTGGATCGCCAGTTTTGGTGGCGGGGTATGAAGAGAGATGTGGCAGTTTTCGTATCTAAGTGCCTTACTTGCCAGCAAGTGAAGGCCGAGCATCAGAGGCCAGCGGGTTTGCTGCAGCCCTTGCCTATTGCTGAGTGGAAGTGGGAGCATGTCACTATGGACTTCGTTGTAGGTCTTCCAAGGACTCGCGGCGTAGTGATGCTATTTGGGTGGTTGTAGACCGGTTGACTAAGTCGGCACACTTTATTCCCATGCGCGTGAGAGATTCGGTAGATCATCTCGCAGACTTGTATATTCGGGACATAGTGAGATTGCACGGGGTCCCAGTGACGATCGTCTCAGATAGAGATCCTCGTTTTACTGCTAGGTTGTGGCAGAGTTTGCAGAGTGCCCTAGGGAACCTTTCCTATGCTAACAAGGCTTCCCTTTCACAAGCCTTTTTTTTAGCCTTTGCTTGCCTGATGTTTTGTTTCTGTATTCTAGTGTTATACAATGCTGAAACACTGAAGTTTCAGCTTTTAGGATTGCCAACGCTGTAGAGCTTTCTCATTTCTAGCTAATTCTAATTGTTTGTATTTTGGCGTCTTTTTTTTTTTTCTGTTTCAGAAGTGCAATTGAGATGCTACAAGCAGAGCTGAGGGAATCTGCATGCAATTTGGATTTCTCATTAGCAGAGAATGGGTACTCAAATCAACAGACAACTCCAGCTTGTGATTTAATAAAGCAAGGAATTGATATTGTAGGCACTTGCTATTTACATCAACTTCATCCATTCCAAGCGTAAATAAGTTAAATTAATGATATAAAAACATGTTTTGTCAGTAACTGTTTGTCTCACCATATAAAGTTTTTAAACTTTTTGTTAGCCCAGCTAAAAGCAATCAGATTCAGATATCCCTTTTTAAGAATTTCATATTTCTTACAAGTTTTGCTGCTTGTCACAGGTGAGGGTTGACCATATGGCCATTGCTTTGTCATAGACCTATAGATCACCAATAATGGACACCGTACAATCTCTTCCACAACATCAACAGCTAAGTTTGTTCTGCTAACATGATTAATTAGTTGACTATTATGACTCAAAAGATGTGCATTTTATATTGACGGGTCTGTTTAAAGGAGTTTATTCATGACTCGAAGGACTTTATTTATGCTTTGATCTAATAAGATAATCTAGATACGATGTAATTGAAAATCTAGTGTCAACTGAATTCAGTTACTAAACTAGCATGTGTGCCCTATGATTGTAACATCACGAAAATTCATCCAAAACTGAGATCTGGTGAAT